TATCGGGTTCACGATATTACTATAATATCGATACCTGAAGGAATCTAAAAAATATCATGCTCCCGATATTACTATTTATTATCATATACCCGATATTAATAAAATATCGGGCACCTGAGATCAAAACAAAATTTATCGCATAGCTATCGGGCACATTATAAAATTTACAAAAGTACTATCAGGCCTTTAAAAAAAAATGCAGATATTGGGCATCCGATATATATAAAAATATTTCATGTGTCCGATGATTTCCCGATAATCGACCGATATTTGAAAATATCAGGGGGCCGATAGGTATCCGATAGATATCTGATATTCGAATTTTGACCTGTGTAAGATATACCAATACAGTAATATATCTCTATTGATATATTTTTGTAATAAATTTTCATAATTCTTTTAATAAACTGTTCTATACTTCTTGACAAGTTACTCCAAAAAGTTTGTTAAATTTTGATAGTGTACAAAGTATATAGTAAAGATATTTTTACTCCACTTGCTTACTGTACCTTCAGATATTACACGTAATTGCATTGTTTGTGAGTATTAGTAAACAGGTTTAGATCAACTAATTACCTGTCTTGCTGTGTTTTAGGATATTGCACACAAGAAAAAGTGTGTTAGTAATATATTAAATTATCATGTGATTGATTCAAATTTATTGAGACTGATTGGCTTAACTTTCAACTTGTTTTGTGCAAACCACAACACCATCTAGATTTCTCAATTACATAAGTCTTCTGAAATCTAAGAATGATAAAAATTTTGAAAAAAAGAATTTGAAGAATTAACAAAATCTACTTCTGCTTCAAGTGTTGGTAAGTATCAATTATATCAATATTCTCATCCATTTTATTTTTTATAATTATTTTTATTTAGTTGCATCTGAATTATATGTACCTGATTTTTAAATATTTTTAGATATTCTTAGAAATTTTATAATTATTTTATATAATATTTTAGCTGTTACAAATTTTTAGTTGAAAATTTTTCGAAGAAATAATTATTATAATAATATTCATTTTAATTTGTATAAGTCTAACATTATTAATTGTTTATTTTATTTTATTCATATTTTATTGTTAATAATATTATTTTTAAAAATAAAAATTTTAAAAATATTCAATGATTTTTTTTTGTAAAATTTTTCTGTTCTGAATTCAAAGATATTCATCATATACATAGAAACATTATTAAAAATGACTTGGCGTAATTGAGTTTTTTTGTCCATATTATATTGATTGATCAAAGTGAGATAAAAAAAAATTTTGATAGTCTAATTCAAGAGTATACAGTGTATTAAGAAAGTCTTTGGGCATGATTTTACTTGATGAAAATCAATTATCTAATTCGTCCATTTTAGGTTACAAACCTTGTGACTTTTATATTATTAATTGATTATCATATTGATCTTTTTCTCTTTGTACAGTATATACTTTGAGCTCGAAGTTACGTAAGATGCAGAATATAGAAGTTTTTAGTTAACTAATTTAGAAATATGCACTTGATTTCACGACTCATTTTCTTGGATTAATGTAATGAGATAAAAGCTTGTGATCATAAATTCATTTTTTTTTTAATAATAATACATCTGGGTAAAATATACGAGACAGTTACATTTTGGTATTAGGTCCAAATTATGCTTTTTTAAAAAAAAAGAAAATTCTAATAAACTTTTATTAATAGATTAGGTAAATTTTCATATACGATAAAAAAAGACTATTTTACCATTCGATCTGAGTGTAAGCTCAGAACTGATGGCCAAAACCCGATCAAATGTATTTATTGTATTTATAACTATAATTAATATTAAATTTGCTTTCCCATTTTCCAAAATTATGTATCGGATGTTTTTTTAATTGTTCTATTTTATTATATTTCCCTTCAATTGGTTCTGACTTGTAATTATATCCTTCGTTACATTACATTCGTACGAAAATTCATAAAAATTCGGTATAACGAATATTTTTAGAAATTCGTTATATATTTATTAATAAAATCAAAATTTATAAATTTATAAATTATTGTTTGCCGTAAGAGACTTGCGTTTGTTTTTTGGCATTTCAAAAAAAAAGGAGATGCAAGAGATAAAAAATTCATTATTGATTTTTAAAAACTAAATTTGATAAATTTGCTTGATTGGTAAAGATGCGATTGCAACGATAGGGGTTGTAACCACCCTCCTTAATCTTTATTAGAGTTATTATAATTTTAAAATAAATTTACAAAATGTGGAGTGATTTTTCATTAAGATATTCTTAGAACCATTTGAAAGCGCTTCTCGATGATAGTTTAGCTTCAGAATTCGCTAAGTTACTATTGTACGAGAATAATACCTTAAAATTGTTCTAGATTTGCATTCTATAATCTGTTACTTTTTGGTTTGAAAAAAAAATCACGGAGGGTTGATTGTATCTTGTTTTTTTTTATTTAAACATGGGTATTGATGACTAATTGGAAATTAAATAACCTCTTCCGAATCTCAGATCAATAGTTTTCCCATGTATTTCTTTCAATTAATATATCGGGTCGGGAAAAAGAGTCATAAATTTGATTTTTATGTCAGACAGACACACATAATAATTATGCAAATGTAAATATATTAACTTTTTGAGCATTGCTTTTTTTGTTTATACTTGTTAAAAATAAAAATGCGAAAATTTTCTCAAAATTCAAAAAAGAAAGGTTAAATAAATAAATTTAATATTAATAATAATTTATATTATACCTCTAAACATATTTATCATATAATCTTACATCACTTCAGATAATAACCGTCTTATAAAATGGAAATCTCACGAATTTCCGACTCTTGATAAAGAACAAGTTCAATCTTGGACCCCCGAACAACTTGTTGCTCACCTTTATTCAATATTCAATTTACAAAGAAATTTTCAAAATGATCCATTTATAAAGGATTTATTGCAAAAATTCAAAACAATCGAAATTGATGGTAATAGATTTTTGGAAATGGACAGAAACGATTTTTTAAGAATCGTTAAAGAATGCCGAAATCCTAAAGGGTATATAATTGGATTATTGGAAGGGGAGATGTTTAGATTAAACGGTACATTCTATTATTTTTTTTTTTCTTCATTACCTTTTATCTTGCAATTGAATTAATTTTAATTTATTTTTTAGGTCGATATTGTGAAGATATTTATCGTGATCCTGTTGGTAATTATAATAAAAATATTATTAATATTATTTTCTTTGATTATAATTAATTTTATATTTATTAAAATGTCATAATTTGTGTCATAATTTGCTTTTGGAAATAGAATTTATCTATAGACAAAAAGAAAAGAATCTCCCTCACGTAATTTATTAAAAAATATCTTGGTTAATCAATAATTTTAAAAATCATTATATTATATAAAAATAATTATATACGAAAAATAATTATTTTAGGCAGTTTCATCCAAGCAGAATAATTAATTCCGATAAAAGTTTTCATTGTTTACTTGTTAGAAATTTGGATATAATCCCTCCTTCTCATGACATCCGTCGATATTTAGCCAGTCCTTTAACATTACGAATTCCTATACCTTCAATGTATCTTCGTGAAAATTTAAACCCGGGAATTTTTTGTTACTTGATTGCTCAAGAACAATGCTTGAATCAATCTAATTGCTTAATGACTGCTCCAACTTTATCTTTACCTTTCCTCACTGCTCTAACTTTTCCTTGCGTAATTAATTCTCAAGATATCGTTTTATTAAATTACACACTAATTATTGATGCTCTAATTCAAGGCACTTTCAATAGTTTTCAACAATTCGAAAATTTTCAATGGCTTTATATTGCTCGAACTACCACCAACATCACTTCTTGTTCAACTGAATCCCCTGAGGATTCACTTCGTCCTGATTGGATGTGTTGGATTAATAAACTTTTACTTGTATTTCAAGGAATACAACTTTCCGAAGATACAGAATGGCAAATTGGGATCTACAAATTAATGTCTAAAATTCATTGGAGATCAATGTATTATGCTAATTTACCATATACTTTCGCCTACATTTCAAAAGGTCCAAAATTAAGGTTTTATTTATATCGACCAAATTTTCATCAAACTTTCACACCATTAATTCAAATATCTCAAGAATTTGATTTGGATTCCATAATGGATCGACTTGGAATTATAAAGACAACTCTTAATATTTATTCAATTTTCAAAACCATTAAAAGGCAATGGAATCATTTCACAAAAATGACAATATTTCCTTCTTCAACCATTAATCCATTATATTTATCAATTCAAAGAAATGGTGAAATTACAATAGAATTTCTTGGAGAATTTGTTAGAAAAACTGTATCAAAAAATTTTATGAATCTTTATTTCGATTATAAAGTCTTATGTGAAATTTATCAAGACACTAGATTCATTAAGAATTTGGTACATTGCGTTGACAATGATTGTAATTATTCAACACCTATAATGAAACAAGATGGTGGATGTAAAATATTGATTCATCCAGTTGGATATAATTATTATCCCAAAAATGAAAATGAATTAAGGAATTGTTTTAAGACTATATTGGAAGTACTTCGAGATATGCACAATGTAGGATGGACACATCGAGATATTCACTGGGGAAATATAATGAGACAAGAAGATAATAATAAAGCTGGTGAATGGTTATTAATTGATTTGGAATTGGGTAGAAGAGTTAATGATATCTTGGATATCACTTTATGGAACAGGTGGCCTAAGGAAGCTGAAAAAGGGAAAATATATAAAGCAAATTATGATGTTTGGCAAATATGGAGAGTAATACAAGAAAGGGGTGATGATACTAAAGGTTACAGTAAGAAATTTTGGAGTTTTCAGGAAATGATTGGAAGAGCGGTTAAAGACGATATTAATGCTGAAATTGCATTAAAACACGAGTGGTTTGGTGGTAAGTTTAATTTGATAAACAAACTTTTAACATATGTACATTGAACAATTTATTTTAAGTATAAACTTTTTTTTTTTTTAGAATAACGCTATCGATGTTTTGATTACAAATCTTCAGGGATGATCTATATTTGCGCCAATAGCATTAAATGAGCAAATATGTTGTTTGCATTATTAAGTTTATTAAGTTTATTAAATTTAACTAACAGCAAAAATACCTCATTATGTCATAAATTTGTCTTAAATTATTAATGGAAAATTTTATAACAAAATAAACGTATAAAGTCTTTACATTTTCAAAAAAAAAGTTTTTTTTTAAAAAAAAAAAAAATGTACGAGAAAAAATCTTCAGAAAAATTTTCGTTAGAATCGCAAATAGTAAAAGCAAATTTATCGTTATCGGGTTTAAGTTGTGCAAGTTGTATTCATTCAATTGAACAAGTTCTAAAAAAACTTCCAGGCGTATTAACAAATTCAATCCACGTAAATCTACTTATGAGCAATGCCTCTCTAGAATTTGACAGGTCAAAAGTTTCTATGGAACAAATTAAAACAGCGATAAATGATAGTGGATATAAGGTGAAAGACGCAAATATTGAAGAAGAAAAATCACAAAGTCAAAATGAAATGCGTGAGGAAAATACGGAAAACGTTATTAGTATAATAGATTCTGACACAAATCAAATTGAAAATGTGACGATTACAATGTTATCAATTGATGGAATTTCGTGTGCATCATGTATAAACACCATAGAACAAGCTATCAGACCCTTGACTGGTGTAAAGCATATTCATGCTAATCTTCTTACTAGTGAAGCCATCATAAAACACGACAATAATAAAATCGGTCCACGTGATTTAATAAAGGCTCTTGATGAATTGGGATACGAATCTCAACTAATAAAAAATAATTTTTCTAATCAAGATGGAAATAATATACGTGAACGTGCTGAAAGAGAGCAACTAAAACTGAAGAACCATTTTCTTTGGTCTTTGCTTTTCGCCATTCCAACATTTATTATTTCCATGATATTTATGTTAATTTTACCCAAAACAAATAATGTTCGTATGGCATTTGAATATCAAATTATTCCCGGTCTTGAAGTGGCCACATTAATACTTTTCATTCTTTCTACACCTGTACAATTTTTATTGGGTTATCCTTTTTACGTCAAAGGAATTCGATCTATTTGGTATTCACATCAAGCCAACATGGATACTCTTGTTGCTGTTGGAACTACTGTGGCATACTTTGGATCATTGCTTAATGTTGTAATACCGATTGCTGAAAAAAGAGATACAGTAGGTCAACAATTTTTTGAAACTAGTGTTTTTCTCATTACTTTTATTTGGCTTGGAAGATGGTTAGAATCAAAAGCCAAGGGTAAAACTTTTGAGACAATTACAAAATTGATGGAATTGCAACCAGAAAAAGCCACCCTTATAACTATCAAAGATGATCACAAAGTGATTGAAGAACGAGATATTGATTTAGGACTTGTACAAGGTATTTTATAATTTAAATAAACCAAAATTTTACCTTTTAATTATTCTTACACATATCATATTCAAATTATGAAATCATTTTTAATTTAGTTGGTGATATTCTGAAAGTCAATCCTGGTGCTCGAATCCCATCTGATGGTTAATATTATATGAATTTTCTTTTTCTTTATTAGTTGAAATAATATTTTTTTTTTTAAAAAAAAATAATTGTAAATAATAATTTTATAGGAAAAATATATCGAGGGACAACATCTTTAGATGAATCCATGTTAACTGGAGAATCCATTCCTGTGACTAAATACGAAGGTGACGAAGTTATCACTGCAACAGTAAATTTATCATCAATGATTTGGATTAAAACTACTCGTGTAGGTTCAAACACAACACTTTCTCGAATAATTGATCTAGTAAAACAAGCTCAATCAAGCAAGAAAGCTCCGATTGAAGCTCTGGCTGATAAAATCGCACAAATATTCGTTCCCGCAGTAATTGTGCTAGCTATCATTGATTTTATTGTCTGGATTTCATTAGGTGCTGCGGGTAAAATTCCAATTGATTGGTTGCCAGAAAATGAAAATTATGTAATTTTTTCTCTCTTTTTTGCTATAAGTGTTTTAGTTATAGCTTGTCCTTGTGCTATGGGTCTTGCTTCACCAGCTGCTATCATGGTTGGTACTGGAATAGCTGCTCGGTATGGTGTTTTGATTAAAGGAGGTGGTGAAGCGATAGAGATGGCATTCCGATTAAATATTATTGCATTTGATAAGACTGGTACTTTAACTTATGGAAAACCACATGTTGTAGACACCAGAATTTTATATGAAAAACCAACTTCGGAAATAAATAATGAAGAATATAACTCCTATCGTGAATTACTTTGGCAAATTATTGGTCATGTGGAATCTTCTAGTGATCACCCCATGGCAAAAGCAGTAACTCAATATGTAAACGAAAATATATCGAAAAAAGAAAACAATATAATTATGAAATCAGTCACCGAGGTTCCAGGAAAAGGTCTCAAAGCTACCATAACGATTCATGATTCCATATCACAAAATTTACTTCCTATCAAGGCAAACAACGATAATTTATCTTACAATGTCTTTATAGGCAATGAAAGATGGTTAAAAGAAAACGGATGTATATATCCCTTTCATGTAACACAACACGCAGAAAACGCACTTCAGGAATGGCAAAGTTTGGGATATTCTATAGTCCTTGTTGGCCTTTCGATAAAATTCAATAATGATAAACAAAGAGAATCGGGATACATATTAGCACAATTGGGAATTTCCGATATCCCAAGACCAGATGCTTCAAAAACTGTAGCAACATTAAAATCACTTGGTATAGAAGTTTGGATGATAACTGGAGATCATCCAATCACAGCAAAAGTTATTGGTCAAAAACTTGGGATTGAAAATATTTTTGCGGAAGTTACTCCAGAAATGAAAACGGAAAAAATTAAATGGTTACAACGAAAAGGATACATTGATAATTCAAATCGTCATAATTTTTTGAAATTATTAACTCGAAATCGTAATACACAAAGACCAATAGTAGCTATGTTAGGAGATGGTATAAATGATTCGCCAGCATTAGCGCAAGCAGATTTACCAATTTCAATTGCAAGCGCAACCGATGTTGCGATAGAAACAGCATCAATCATTCTAACTAGATCGACACTTTCATCTTTGATTACATTAATTAATTTAGCAAAAGCGATAATATGGAGAATTAGATTAAATTTTATATGGGCTTATATTTATAATACTTTGTCTATACCAATAGCAGCTGGTATATTCTTTCCTTTATTTAAATACGGGTTGAGACCTGAAATAGCTAGTTTAGCAATGATAATAAGTAGTGTTAGTGTGATATTGAGTAGTTTGCATTTGAAGAAATTTAAAGAACCTAAAGAAGTAAAATATTAGATTATATAATGTTCAAAATTAGATAAATATAATATTTGCTGTAACGCAAACCAAATAAACAGTAAAAATTGCTTTTTGTATCGCAAACAAAATAAAAAATTGTCATTGAGAATACTTTTCTTATCTTTGTCATGTTCAATAAAATCTTTTGATTCTAATAAAGCCCACTCTGAAGGGATTTTATTAAATCAAAGAATTAATTTACTTGAACAAAAGATTACTTTAGAATTCCAAAATATTATCACAAATTAATTATAATGATTCATATAATAGTTCATATAATGGTTCAATCAATTCATTATCTAAGTCGGTCGCCGAATATAAAAAGCCAATTTTGAGTTATTAACTCTTTATTAGCTAATTAAGAGTACTGGATAGACATGGGATTATACCACATGACCTATTAAACCTATATTTAAATTATACCATAATCATAATGATAAAACTGGGAACATGTAAAATGTACAACACTTGGCAGATATCTTTAAACAAAAAAAAAAGGGAATACATTGTAATGACAAAAAAAGTTCATTTTAAAATTAATAAAATTAAAAATTGATATAATCTACATTTGAATTGTTATCTAGGTATATATTTGGTATTGACGATTTTCGAGGATAATAATAATAATGATAATACAATACATGGAGGAAATTTCATTCTCTCAGATTATGTATGCCAGATATCACATTCCAAATAATTTGTACCACAATAAAAATCGAAATTTCATTTATCAATTTTTAAATATAAATTCTGTCTTTTATTTCTTCCCATTAATTGGGTTATTTTTTTCTTGTAAACCAATAATTTGTTATCTTTTTCGAGACATTCGAAATTTGAATAAATTAAAAAAAATATGAGAGGATTACCCCCTCAATATGCGCATTCTCAAATAGAATTAAAAATTTCGTGCCGAAAATTAGTAGATATAGATTATCTATCGAAAAGTGACCCTCAAGTTATATTGTTAATTAAGGATCAGAAAACGTTAAAATGGAAATCTACATTACATAAAACTGAAGTAGTCATTAATGATTTAAATCCAAATTTCGTAAAAAGTATTATAATTGAATATCTCTTTGAAGAATTACAACAACTTAGGCAGGTTTTCAATTATTATTCAATATAATTCTCTTAAATAAAAATTGGTTAAAAATATATTTATAAAATGACAATTTTAAAATGATTGGTATTGAATTTGATAAATTTGTCAAATAGATTTATAGTCGTTGATGTCGACAAACCGTCAAATCCAGATTGGAGAGTCCAAGAGTTTGTTGGACAATTTGATTGTGATCTAGGGTCAATAGGTAAAAAAATTTTATTTCGTTTTTTTTTTTTTAAAAAAAAAAAAAAATTAATGATAAAAATTTACATAAAAAAAAAAAAAATTAAGTTGGTAGTCCAGGAGGAATGATGAAAGGCAAATTAATATCATCAAAACATGGAAGAAAATCTCGCGGTGAAATAATTATATCAGCCGAAGAAATTAACGATTCAAAAAGAGTTGCAAAGTATATAATATATATTAATATATAATTTGATAAATTAATATATCTAAATTGATATTTTGATATTTTATTAGATTAGAATTTCAGGCTTATAACATATTAGATAAGGTAAATTTTAATTAAGGAATTACATTTAGAATTAAGTTTTATGGAGATCATTTGTTATATAATTCTAAAGTAATCCATAATTATATAAACATTCATAAAGGGAATATTTAAGTCGAAACCCAACCTATTTTTGGTTCTTAATAGAGTAAATGAGGATACTACATTTTCTCCAGTCTATGAAACAAACAATGTTGCTTCAGCAAGTCCTGCCTGGAAAGAATTTTCTAGTATGTTGGAAAATAATAATAAAAATAGAGATATTTTAGTTTTCTTATTTAAAATTTATTTGAATTAAAAAATTATTTAATGTATTTTAAAAGTAAAAGAAACTACATTATGTAATGGTGACCAAGATAGAACAATAAAAGCTCAAGTTAAACAACGCAAAAAAAATGGTATTTATTTATTTAAAAATATTTGGGTATCAAAATTTAAAAGAATTCCTTTATTATTAATAATATTAAAATAAATAATAATTCTTTTATTTTCAGTACCTCCAGCTCTTGGTGAGACTGAGTTTACACTTCGAGAAGTTATATCAGGAGATCGTAAATTCATGTTTCGTCCGACCGAAAAAGGAAAAATTGGGAAAGATGCACACCTTCGAGTTATTAAAGGATTAGTTACAGAACCTCCTTCATTCTTAGATTATATTTCTGGTGGTACTCAAATAAATTTGGTGGTAGCCATTGATTTCACTGGTTCAAATGGCGATCCGAGATCAAAAACTAGTCTTCATTATACTGGTGGTTCGAGAGATAATGAATATCAAAGCGCTATTCGAAGTGTTGGAACTATGTAAATAATTTATTAATTCTACTTTTTTTTAAAAAAAATATATATATCATACATTGAATTTTATTTATTTATAGATTAGAAGCTTATGATCATGATAGAATGTTTCCGGCATGTATTATTTTCTTCTTTATTTCTTTGTGATTTATTCATTCTGAATTATATTGGATTATATATTTTATTTCATTTTTTTTTTAGGTCTACGGATTTGGTGGGAAATTTAATGGAATATTATCTCATGCACATCCATTGAATAACAATATAACAAGAGTAAATAATTTAAATTAATATTATGTTCAAATATTTCAATCATTTCTATTTGTTTATATATTAATGAAAATATATATATATATTTTTTTGGAATATTTAATATAGCCCGAAGTTCAAGGCGTCGATGGAATATTAGAAGCTTATTCTAGAACTTTTGATGCATTGGAATTATATGGACCCACAAATTTCTCACCAGTAAATGTTTATATTTAAATACTTTATCATAAAATTATTATAAATTAATTATTATTGTTCTATTATTTTCATGACAGATTATAAATCAAACAGCTGATAAAATTAAACAAGAATTGAGATCTGGTAACAAAAGATCTTATTACTTATTGCTGATCATCACAGGTAATATTGAGGATAAAAAACAATGAATGGAATTATTGAATTATGAAAATATAAATATTTTAATAATTACTTATATTTTACTTTATTATCTTCTCTCCACAGATGGTGTAATAACAGGTATTTTTTTAAATTATTACTATTAATATTAATAATAATAATAATAATATTATTATTATTATCTTTTAATACCATATTTATTTATGTATAGATATGGATTCTACTGTGAAAGCAATAATCAATGCTACCTCTCTTCCTTTATCTATAATAATTGTGGGAGTTGGAAATGCTGATTTCGCTAATATGAATGTCCTCGATGCTGACGATAACCCATTGAAAGTAAGTGTAAGTATTTTATCGATATTATGATATTATGATATTAATATTATCATTTCAAATATTTAATAATCTCACTAATATCATATCATTAATCTTTAATAGCAAAAATCCTTCGATGGTAAAACAATAGTAGGAAGAGATATTGTGCAATTCGTTGCAATGAGAGATTTCCAAACTGAAACGGCAAGGTATTATTTGCCAAAAGTTGTTCTTGAAGAGATTCCCGATCAATTTATTGATTACATGAATAAAAATAATATAAAGCCAAATCCCAGAATTCAGAAGAATGTAAAAGACTTATCCCACAACCCTAGGTTTGATCCTGACTATTATGACGAAACACTTCCCGAATATTATTCTTAATAAACATATTAGTTCGTCGTTTAGTTTGATTTTATTTTATATATATATACATGTATTTATAATTAATTAATACAGTGAACCCTCTATAAATGAACCCCCCCGGGAAATCAGCATTAGGGTGCATTTATAAAGGGAAATTTTATAGGTGTTATTAGTGGACGGGGCCGAAGTACAGAGCGCATTTATAGAGGGGTGCACTTACAGAGGGTGCATTTATAGAGGGTTCACTGTATGCATTTATCTATATTCATTCATTTATATTTAATAATCTATATTTAATCATCATCTTTAGTTTATTAATTATTTATGTATAATCATTTATATTTAATCATATTTATTATTTTATACTTAAATTTAGAATTGTGATAAAATTATGAACTTACGTGCAAAAAATTGATACTATTTATAGTTTAAAACGCGAATTCTTCGTAAGAAAAGTGTTAAAGATTCCTATTAATTAAATAAATAAAAAAATAAATGTAATTTATTATTTTATGGTTTTCTTTGTATTGTTATTTATGATTATTTATGGACTTTTTTCTTTGTATTTGCTGTTTATTATTTAATATATTTTGTTTGTATTGCTATTCCTATTTTACGTATGTCTTTTTACTTTTCTTATTTATCATTTATCATCATTCATCATTCATCATTTGGCCTCAAATTAATAGAAAATCAACCTAAAAAATCTCCAAATGACCAATTCGTTTTTTTTTGCTATTATTAGGAATTTTGTTTAAATTCTTGAATTAAAATACATACAGTATCTTGTAAACTTTACTATATCAAATAACTTATATTGAACCTAAAAAGTAATTATCAAAACTAATTTACGATCAATTATTTAATTATTCTAAGAATTTGGAACTTTCTTTTCTAAATAAGATTAGCGTTATTAGAAGTTATAACTTTATTTAGAGTATTAATTTATTGGTTTAAATTAGAGTTTATTTTAAATTTATTTTGAGTCCTTAAATAGATTAGACTCCCTAAAATAAATAAACTTTAGTTGGTAGTCACGTGATAAATAACCTAGACCAAGGTTCTGGGATGAATTTGTCTTATTTTCGTGTAAAAACGAACGCATAAAAGGGAATTATTATCTATTGGTCTATTGGTTGACACTTCGAACGCTTAAGTAAAAGATTATCCGATTTATTTATTTAAAATTCAATTCATTATTAGTTTATTGGTGTTACTACAAAACAAAGAATATTTTATTTTTGATTAGTCAAATATTCAAATATTGATAAATTAAAATTTTTGTTATTAGAAAAAACGTAACCACTAGTAACATTTATTATTTATAATATATAAACAATGAAAGATTTAGTTTATTATCAAGAATAAAAAAAAAAATATATATTATTTTGGTGAGGCAAAAATAATAACATTCACTAGGTTAACAAAATTCTGTCTTCGTTTTTTTTTATAAATTCTTTGATTCTACCGAATGTATAAATTTACGTATTCCTCACTTGCTTTTTTTTTCGGTTCCTATCCTTAAGCAATTCATTAATTACTTTTTGTTATATAATACTTTTTATTTTAATTAATTCATTAAAATATAAAAAGATAAATAATAATAATGACTTTTTACAATCCAGTGATTATTATTTACTTATCTCTTCAAGTAATAAGTTTATTTCTCTTGGGGACATTAATCTATTCGATTTTTACTTCAAAAAATCATTTTCCAAAATGGACACTCTTGCAACTATATGTATCAGTATTTTTGTATAACATAAGTAGTCTCTTACCCATTTCAATATATGGTGAAAACTTAGGTGCTCATGGCTTCATTTCTCCACTATGCATAACATCTCAAAAGATCAATCAATTTTTAGTTCATCCCATAGAAACATTACCGTTTGCATTGTCATTTTATCTTTGGTATGCTTTGGTTAAAAAAGATGCAAATATTGAAAAGAAATGTTCTCTTTATATTTCAAGTTTTGTTTGGTTGTCAGCGATTATTCACGCAATTTGTTTGTCAGTCGCATCAAGAAATGATGAAAATTTTGGTACCAAAGTCGAATCATATTTATGCGTAGCTCGAAAAAGAACATATTCTATGCTTTTAATAATCATTATTTTTACTTTGTTGTTTACGATTGCTATGTCAAGTGAGTAATTTTTTTTTTTTTTTAATCACGATTTTAAATAAAAATGTTCTTAGATTTATCAATAATATATATATATATATATATATTATCTGCATTTATTTTAGGTCATTCTGGTATAATGTTATTCAGAAGATGGAAAGACTTTAATCATCGTCAGAATAGAACTAGAGTCATAAAACTTGGACACGCATTGAGATTGTTTATCTTTAGTTTTTTCTATATTAACCTACTATTATTTTGCGTCATTTTTCAAGTCATGCAACTAGGTCATGATGATGATATATGGTCATGGTGTTATACTTTCTCTGGGCCAGTGTTGTATGTATTTTATTTTTTATTTATTTAATACCTTTGACTCGGACTTTAGATAATTGTAATTACTGTAATATTTAAATTAATTAAATTAAAATTATTTATTTTTTTTTTCTCACTCTCGTTTTGCAGAGGAATATTATTATGGTCAATTTTTGGAACAAGCAAAAAAGCAGCAATATTTTTGCCATGTTATTATGTCACTCCAGTATCTTTAAATTCCTATGATATTCCACAAGAGCATATGACAGTAACTGATAATTTATCAGATAGTTCAATGACAATAACGACAATAACCGACGAAGGGACAGAAACTAGTAGGAATAGTAGGAATTGTATGTTAGAAAAAGAAGATCTAGATGGAATGAACAAATAATAGTTTAAACAATATAGAATACTAATGAGATAATAAAGAAAATATAGAAATGGTTGACCTGATACACATCTACTGAAAAAAAAAAAATATCTTGGGCAGTTATTACCTTTAAAGTGTAAACATTTATTTCATTCTGCGTAACACTGAATCAAGACGTGTAATAATAGATATTATTTGTGCTACAGGGGATCGAGCATTTTAAATAAAGATTTTCATTATTATTATGATATTTATAGGTTATAATTACCCATATAATAGAACTTTAATCTAGTCTTTAAAATTTTCGTTTACTTTTTAACATATATTCCGACTATCTTTAAAGTTGTTATTTTTGCTTTAAAGATAATCATAAATTGTTTCCAAGGTGATTTTTGATTTTGGCAATTAATTAAATATGCTCTTGAGGAAAGAACCAAAGATATCTAATAAATAAAGAAAATTATTGTTTATTAAATAATAATATAGCTTTATTTTTAAAACATAATTTCTAGAATCCATGGTCTTATGTAACATAAATCTATATTATTTGTAAAAACAATTTAATATAAATAGTCAAAAAATGGTATTCGTCGAAATTCTTGTTTTTTGAGTTCAATCTCTCTGCTTTCGAGACTTAAAATTTGTTAATACATTTTTTACCACAAGTCATGATATCAAGAAAGATTAAAAATTAAAACTAATAATATGTATATAAAGAAAAAAAAAGAATTTGCTATGTGAATTATTTAAGATTTTTAAAATTTAAAAAAAAATTAATAAAGTAAATATAAAACTCTTTATTACAATTGTTATACATTTTGTTAATGCTATTGATTCTAGTTATTACTTTAATTCTACAATTATTATTGCATTTTTTTAACTCTTTTATAATTACAATTGTTATAAATTCTTGTTTATTACTTCTAAGTTAATTCTTTATAATGTATGATGTTAATTGTATTAAATCTATTAAATCTTTAATTGTATTTGATAAATTCGATCTTTTATAATGAGGAATCTCATAATTATTACTTTTTTTTTAGTTTTTTTTTTTATGATAAGTTTTTCTGTGCAAAAATGCGATAAGTTTTGCTATAAGAATTATTTTCTTTAAGTTCAGTTATTATCTTATTGATTAATATTTCAAATTCATCATTATCCATTGTCATAACACGAGTCATTCTAGTCTTTAAAGATCCAAGTAACTCTGTGGCTATCATTAAAATGAAAATAATTAAGTAAAAGATTATAATATATCTATCTAACACAAAGCAGTAAGCATACCAAGATCAAAGGTGGATAGCGATTGGACTGGATACCAAGTATTGATCTTCTCTTCAATTGTTATTGACGCTAATTGTGATTCATAAATTTGTATTATATCTTGAAATTTTTGACGGCTTATATGAAAATAATTGAAATTATTTTTTTCAAGAACTTGTTGTGAACAAATAAAAAAATATATCATAAATGTCATAAATATATATATATATATATATATATATATATATTAGGAAATTAAGAATTACAAAATTAATTGGGAACTTACATTTTTCTAAAACAAGGGAAGTAGTTGTTCCAATATTGTAAATATATTTGTTAAATTCCATGAACTGTTGTTTAGTGTAGGATTGTTTACAATAAATTATTTAAATTATATTGAACGATGTAAAAGTATAGTATAATTCTAATATTCTAATACATACCTCGATCCAACCTCCAGGTTTGAGTACACGAAATAGTTCGGGCATAATCTTTTGTTCCCAATCTATTTCATTGAAACAATGTTTCATGAAACGTATATGAATAAAATCAAATTTTTTTTCAGCAAATGGAATTCCTTCAAAGAGATTATGTTTATAGAATGAGACGTTTGGTGGCTTTATATGTGTAGGAAATATAGGATTCCAATCTAATCCAACAAAATTGCTTCTTGTGTAGGTTGTCGCAAGATCCGTACAAAACGTCCCAGGTCCACATCTAAAAAAAAATACGAAAGCATTAGACATACATTACAAACATCACAAATATAACTAATATGACAATATAAAATTATTCATACCCTACATCCAAGATTAAAGCTCCATTCTGAAGAATTTTTTCGATTGGACTATAATTTCAAAAACAAAATACAGTATATGATATTCGTTATTACCAATATAAAGAAAATTGTTTGCATATATATCAAAAAAAATATTATCTACCTTTTGAAATTACTATTCCACACAACTCCAAAGTAAAAATGTATGAGATGGGTGCGGTCTACGTCTTCATTCTCGATATCTTGACAAAATTTTTTTATTCCTTCATTCTCATTTTTGGTTTCATTTCGTGAAATTTTATTTTTGACCAAAAATGTTTGACAATTAATTTGTCTCTTGGAAGATGAAGATTTTTTTTTCATTCCAATTTTGTCTTGAAAATTTTTTGAAAAATAACCACCCATCTTTAATAAATATATACATAAAGGAGGGGGAGGTTTCTTTTTTTTTTTTAAAAAAAAAAAAAAAAATAGAGATAATGATTAAATTTGTAAAAAAAAAGATGGTTTATAGGTTAAAGTGAGGAAAAGGGATATTCGAATAATGTGAAATAATGTAAATGGAATGATTATTTAAAGAACTTGGAAGATCAAAGAAATTGCTATATTTTTATAATAATTAATTTATTTTGTTTCATTACGAAAAAATTTTTAAGGTGTTCAATAACCATTTACAAATAAAAATTTCAATTTCATTACAAATATGGATGATGAACTTAAATTTGCATTTAATTCTTGTCAAAAAAAGCAAAAAAAGTAATCAACTTTAGAAACATCCAAATTTTATATATTATTATAATTATTCAAGCATCTAATATTAATAATTTGACGCGTTCGCTTACATGGACGTGATGTGGCTTTTATTGGTTCCCGAAATTATAATAATATAATATTTTTATATAATAATTTATTTAATATTTTATATGATATTCTTATATAATATTTTATTTATAGCTTGATCCAGCAAAGTTATTAATAATAAAATCTCACAGGTTCATATTGTTAAGATTCTCCTTTTCGCATGTTATTAAGGTTATGGAAAATATGCTACCATGTCAAAATTTCAAAAAAGATCTTTTTTTTACCGCGACCAATGACTTATCACCTACTGCCGAACTTTGTTATTATAAATCAAAAATTCTCGTGGAGAGATAAGAGGAAGAAATGATAAAAAGAGGTAGTGAGGGCGATAAATATCGCGTTCCAATAATAGAAGGTATGAAAAGAATCCTCATTATGTGTTATTATGTATGGTCAGATGATTAATCTGATAGTTTATTATGTTTTAAATTTAGTTACAATCTCATATGCTAAAAGTTCTTAGTACGTAATAAGAAATAGAATTATTTGCATCTTGTATGAAATTTATTATCTTTTAATTACTTCTTTATATTTCCTGAATTATTCTTAAATGTAATAATTTTAAATTTTAAAAAGTCTTGACCAAAAAGATTGATAATACAAATGTGGATAATAATATGTAGCATATAAAGAAAGTTGAGTTAAACGAAATGGTGGTGAATATATTGTTAGATTATGAGGTGAGTTATGAGTTGATTTTGTAATATGTACTAAAGAAAAATATTTACATGATCATCCTGAATTAATCCGATAATGAATTCGTTAGAGATTCCGTTATAAATTTATGATTGGTGGTTTTAATTCTATCTTTAGGGCCTTGCAATGTCAGTGGTTTGTGAATTTGCGAAAAAAAATTTCTTATTATTATCATTTCTGTCAATGAAAAAGAATTTAAAAGAATTTTCTTTTTTCTCTCAAAATTTTAATCTTTAAAATAATCTAATGCGAATAAAAAAAATTGGTCTATTTGAAATTTCAGGTGATATATAATTCAAAGGGCTTAAAATTTTCTGATCCATAAAACAGATTCTTTTCATGAATAGCTTTAAAATTTTCAATCGATAAGCAAATGAATTTAAAATTAGAATGGAAATTCACTCTAAATTGTTTTCCTTTATTAAAATCGTCCTTTTTTTTTTTTATATCTTAGCTGATTCTTTCTTTAAATAGTAGTGTTTGTTGTGCTAGGACTTAATTTGCCTATTCCTATTTATTCCTTTTTTAAAATGTCTTTGTTCTTAGTAATCACGTTCTAATCAAATTTAGAATGTTTCTAATTATTCTCAAAATTAGTATTAGAAACATTGTATAAATCAATTATTCTCAATGTTTCTTTTAATAATTTTACATTACAAAATTTAAATTTATTTATTTTAACTTATTTTATTTAATTTAAGAATTCTAATATATAATCCAAAAAAAGTTAAATTTAAAATTGTTGAAGTTATATTTTAAATATATTTCTTTCATTATCATACCTATTCTCCATAAAAATATTAATCATTTTAAGTATTCCTTTAGGTTTTTCTATAAATATATTTTTTCTTTAAAGTATTTCTATAAATATTTATTAAAGTATTTCAAACTTTAATAGATTCACTAATCATCTTATTCAAATATTCATAAGTAGAAAATTGTATAGCTCCTCCAGGTGCAATTCTAATACATCTCAAAGTAGCACCTTTAAAGAATGATTTTATTCCTTCATTTTTTAACATAGCCTTTACACATTCCCAACTATTTTTATATCCAACATTCTGATCTTGCATCCTCGTTTTCACTACATCAGGTGGTGAATTTAATATTCCCACTAAAATATTTGCGGAAAATCCCGATATTGCATGTTGCCATGGTGATAAGGGTTGATTATTATTTACAACTGAAAATAGATCTTTGAATGTATTATAACCTGTAAACTATTTAATTTTATTATTCAATAATAATGATATTATTATTAATTAAAATTTTAATAAAGATAATATAAATAAATAAATAAAAATATAAATACTTTAACAGCCAATCCCCAAGATTGTCTAAAAATTGTTGGTAAAAGTCCATTATAAAATGCTAATAATCTATAAATGAAATTAATAAATTAATTTGAAGAAGCAAAAAATAATTTAATCAAAAATCTATTAATATCAAACAATAAATAATTACCCTTCTTCTTTTACAATTGACACAATAGTTGATATCATTCCTGAATATTTCTGCTTATTCAAATCTGTTTGTTGCCTTATCTTAACTAACTCTAAAGGTGTTACCAAAGTTATTGCTTGCATAATTCCTGTACAAATCTGAAACAATAATTAATTAAACAATTAAATACTTATAAATATATATACATAAATATATTAGAGGAAATAAATATGGCTTACTCCTGTGAATGCAGATGAACTAAATGATGAATAAAATATTTATATATCATTATAATTTCAACTTAAATATTTAAATGTTATAAATAACTAACCTTCCGGGAGGTATTAATACTCCCTCAATTTGATCAAATAAAGGTTTGAACATTGCTAATCCAGTGTATTGTAATGATACTCTTCATTTACAGGTAATATAATAAAAAAAAAATAAGGAAAAATAATAATATTTAGGATTAACCTCAAATATTAAAATTTCTAACTACTATTCTATTATTTTCTTTTTTCAACCTTGGAGTGACAATACACATGACAGGTAAAGTTCCTCTATACAAAGCTATATAAAAAATAATATTTTTAAATATTATTATACTAAAAAAAAAACAAGTTTAGAATTTAGAATTTTCAAAAGACTTACCAAACAATCCTTCTTGACTGATAATTTTTCTAAATGACTTTAGTATGCCGACATCTTGATAATTCGAAGAAACTCGAATCGACTTTTATAATAAAAAAATAATGATTGAAATATTATAATATTAATAATTAAAAATATAAAAATTTATGAATTTAAATTACCTGATATCTTTAATTGATTAAAAAAAATTTTTTTAAAAAAAATCCAGATAAATGAACTCATAGAAACGTAAATGTGTTGTAATAACGAAAAACAGTATAATAGAATACCTTGTTTTTAACACATCAGTAGGCTATATCAAAAAAAAATTTTTTTAAAAAATGACAATAAATAAATACACAAGTAGAAAAGAATAGCAACAGATAACCAACAAACCTGCATAATCAAAACTTCGATAAATCTATATTTTAAATACATATATATATATTTTTAAAATTTATAAATGTTGTAAATGATGATAAAAGAAAACGTGAACTTATTTACCCAGCTCCGGTACCAGCCAGAGTTGAAGTAAGAATACTTTTCTTGTGATCTTTATTTTTTGACATTTTTCAAATTAATTTTGGTATGATGAATTTTTTTTTATAAGTAATTGATTTGATGTGTGTGATACATAAATTTGCAATTGATAATCTAATCGAGTTTTTTTACTTTGAGATTCATCAGTCACATCACGAAGCCCACATACGAACGAAATATAACATTCTTTTATTCAATAAAGTGATTAATATTTACCTTGACAAATATAAAAACAAAGAAAAACTTTCCGCTTTTCAAATTTTTCCAACAGAATAAAAAAATTGACTCAAAAATGCGATCAAATAAAATTTCATTCTCTGAAAAAATATCATCCAATTATATGTGTGGAATTTAAAAAAGATGAGTCTTTACAAGAACAAATAGACGAAGTACAATTAGATATCAAATCCATTGGTAGACATCATATCACTAATAAAGAAATGAAAATTCTTGGTACCTTTAAAATATATAAAAATAAGCTTCCATTGCTTTTGTAAAAAAGATTAATAAATAGATATATGTTTGGTATGATAATGATCAACTGATTGATACATCGTGTCGTGTAAATATACCTATACCTTTTACATACATTTATTTTTGTGTTGATATATACACTCACCTATCAAAAGTATTGGAAAAGAGGCTTTTTTTAAAATTTATTAACATTATTCAAAAGTCAATTATGGCACAACGAATAATCGAAATTGTCAAACTTTTTTTTATTAGATTTTCCTGAACCAGGGTTATCATATAATGCATTTTTATTAAAATTAAATGTCCACAAGTGGAGTAATTACACTTTAAATAAAAGTGACAATAAATAATAATTTTAATCTTTGAACGTTACCCATACCGGATTCGATGAATATTAAAGAAAGATGCCAACTATCTTATATAAACTGTATTTAGAAATGATATCTACAACTTTAATTAGAAGCATAATTCATAGTATCTAGTAAAAATTAGAAATGAATAAAAGCGGCCGAAATTTAATAAAAATAAAGATTGAAATAAAAAAAATATAAAAATAATTATCGATCGTTATTCGTCTGTAATTTTATTATTTGTTAATAAAACAATAAAAGTAGTACTAAGTAACCCTAAAGCCTGATACATAGAGAATCTCTTGTAAAAATTTCAGTCCTATATATTGTGAATTAAGTAAATAATAAATAATCAAATTTCAGAGAATAATTTTAAAATGTCTGATATTCAACCGTTACAATAAACCGCACTTTTCGTATTACAAATCCACTTGATTATTAATACGGTTTTGTGTAAATCTCTGCATTTTATATCAAATGTAAAGGAAAAGTAATTTTAATAAACACGGTTCTGTCAGTAGCTCACATTTCTTAACAAAAACCACCTTTTTAACTTTTTTAACAAAACCACCTTTTTACAACCTGGCTCAGAACAATACTACTTATCAAAGTGCGCACAAAATCCAAGAGACATATGATGTCTCAGTTGAAACATTATGATGATGGGTTGACTCCAGAAGAATTGCTATTGTTAGGACACCTGGTAGAAAATGACTCTATTTAATTACTGATATACAAAAAATCTTTAGAGATAACCAACACGCAAAAGGCCAAGATCTGTTACACCAGAGTCAGTTCAGAACATCAACGAGATAACCTTGAATGATAAATCACAAATCTTCGACAATACTATTCAGAATACAAAATCATCAGTAATATCGGATCATGATTTAACTGGAAATGCAGGGGGTTTGTTACCCTTTTGGAACAAATATACACAGAAGGAATCGAAGAAGTAGTGATTACCTGAAAAGTTTAATTTTTTTTTATTTACTCCAATATTTATTGCTTTTATTATTTTACTAACTTTTTTATTAGGACCGATTGTGCTGATTTGGATCTAAGCTTGTGAATGGATCTTTGAGAAAAATGAGACTCGACTTATGATACTCGGTATAGATATCAATGCTAAAAGTAGTGAAGCCAGAGAACTTGTGAAAAACTTACTCTCAATTGGCACAATATTTGTGACAAGAAATAATGGAATACATTCTATCACCAATCATAAAAGAAGATGAGAAGTTACCAAAGCCCAAGAAAAACAAGAGCTTCAAGATTCCAGCAGACAAGACACAACGTATTTATCTTTTTCCTACGCAAAAAGAGAAGTTGAAACTCAAATGCTGGATGGAAACAGTGTGATAAATTTACAATCAGTATTTCATAGCAATTGAAAAAGAGAATATCAAGTAGACAAAAAAGACTCTACGAGCGCAATGTCTCAATGCTGCAAATTTCAATAATACCGAACTTCAATAGGTCTTTGAAACTTCTTACAATATTTACAATGAAGTGATGAATGATTTACTTAAATCATATTTATCAAATTTGTTACAAAACGAAAGAAATTTAAGATGAAATTTTACTTTAAGAAAAATCAATAACAATCTATTGCAATTCTATCAAAACATTGAGATAAATCTAAAGGAGTTTATATATTTCTTTGTAAGATAAAATCAGCTGAAAATCTTTTAGCAGAGCTCCATTATGATACATGACTTGTGATAAATTGACTTGAAGAATTTTATCATTGTATTCCTCAACCACTTGAGATATGGATCAAAAATCAAAGTCCCACACAATCAGATGCAGTGATCACTCTAGATCCAAATGTACGAACATTTATAACTAGATATGATTCAAGTGAACAAGCTGTAGAATGGATTAAAAATAATATTAGTAGAATTTATTAGCTTTTTCACATATATAACAAAATTCAAAGCACACATAACTCTATTCATGAAAAAGTACATAAACAAAAATACTATAAACTTCGTAGGGTTATACTTCATATACATAAAAAAATCCATTATCTTATTAATGATTGTAACTATAAACTTGTCAAATAGTTGTATCAAAATTATTGTATTATTTTGTTATCTGAGTTTAAAATATAGGAAATAGTTAGACGTGAAAAATGGTGAATTCATTCTAAAACTATATAGATAATATTAATATAGTTCCATTTCTGATTCCGTCAATATTTTCTATATAAAGTTCATGAATATCTATGGTGTCAGGTAATTATATATACTGAAAAATAAAAATAAAAAAAACTCTTCCCATTGATCACTTGTACCAAATATTCCCATAGTAGAGAAATACATTTTTTTACTGTAGTTATATATAAATTTAGTTATTTTTCTATCTTTTTACTTGTATAGATAAGAAAAAAACATAAATATAATATCAGAAATGTTTCTGGTCAACAGGATAATAACAACAATCAAAAAAATGAAAAAAATATGAATTTTATTTTTACGGCTAATAATATACAAAATGAAAATAATTCAACTATGAATATAGAAGAAGAAATAAAATATCAGAAAATTTTTAGGAGCAAATATATCCAGATATTTTTTGGTTTAAAAAAATATTCAGATATATTCACCTATCAAGAAATTTTTGGGAGTAAATATATCTAGATCTTTTTTGGTTTAGAAAAAATTTGAATAAATTCACAAATTTATGTAAATATATTTGTATATTGGATTTTTTCGATTCTCAAATATCTGGATATATTTGAAAATTATTTGAAAAATTCATAGGATATTTAATGAGAAATAATACTGAAATTCTATTTTTAATTCTTTGAAGTTATAATCTTTAACAAATTTTTAGATAGATAAAGATCTATTTAGTTCTAAAAAAATCGTTGAATAAAAAACATGCTAATAATTTATTTTGTTCATTTAGTTTCACAAATTTATATTTTATTTATGTTATATTCATTTTTATTTATATTATCAATTATTTTTTTTATTAATTATTTTATATTATTTACAGATCATTATCATTTTTATTATCAACATTATTATTATTATTACCATAATCGTTATCATCATTATTGTCATCTTTTTTGGATTTTCTTTTATTTCAAAAGGTTACAGTTTGTTTTATTTTCTTTTTTTTATTTATAATTTTTTCTATTCTTACTCGTGTTTTGTCAAGAGTTGAAAGTTTTGTATTATTATTCATTTGATTTTTACCAATCATTTGATTTTCATCAATTATTTGATTTTTATATTTTTTTTCAAAAGTTTTGAAAATTTCTTCTAACTCGTTAGAGTCATTATTAAATTCTTTCTTATCTACAATATTTTTCTAAATTTTTATTTTATTTTATTTTATTTTTTATTTTTCGTTAATTTTTGAATATTATTTTAATATTAATTATTTTATTATATTTTTTTTAACAAAAGATTGAATAATATTTTCAGTAATTTGGATATAATCATTATAGGAGTTTAGGAGAATTTCAGCAATCGACATATACCAAGCAGTATAAAGATCTGGAATTAGTTCTTTTTTGGATCATATATTTTTTATTATACATACGATATGTTTTTCAGATGTATTTTCAATTTCTTTAAATAATTTCTTATAATATTCTAATACTATAAAGTTACTTTTTCATGTGGTATTTTGACTACTGTCACATTGTTATTAATAGGTAATAATTTATCAAAGACTTTAATAATAAATACTTTTACTTTTGTACTTAAATTACTATGTAAATTTAGTATCTTTTTGTCCATCTGTAAATTTTAATAGTTATTATAAAATTTAATAATATTTATAATATCAATTAACAATTTTAAAATAATATTTGTAAATTTCAATTATTCCTTTCTCAAAATATCCATCCCATTGATCACCTAAACTCAAAAAAAAAGTTATTATTTATATCTTTAAAACTTCTTCAGCTGATTTTTTATAATTATTGGGAATTGGATATATATTATAGTTCAAAAGTTCTTCTGAGATTTTTTTAATAATGACCTGCATAATAAATAAATTCAAATAATTTTATTTAAATATTATTGAAATATATAATAACTACAAATATTATATTAATTTAAATTTATTTATATTCAGGAATTTTTTATTAAATGAAAGCACAGATATTTTTTCTTTTATTAATTTCATATCTTCTTCCATTTTACATATTTTTTTTTAGTTTTCTTTATTTATTTGTTGTAAAA